GTGGCGATGACCCCAGATCCTCTTCATTACCCTGGTGCTGAGTGCTGTGTGCACAGAGCAGCCAACAGATGTTACCCAAGTCACGGGGTCACTGTCAGCCCTCTCCATCCCTGGGCCCCTTCCAAGATCCCCAGTTCAGAGCTCCCAGCTCAAGCCTCCGGCTTGGTATTCCTCCTTAGTCTTCCTGGCTTTTGCATTTCAACTTGCCCCAACAGTCTTCCCCGGGAAGGCTTTCCTGGTGCTCAGCGTCCGTGCGGCCCCACGGAGAAATGCCTTGTTACCTCCACCCTCCCGGCAACCACTCCTCCGGTGCCCCCACTGGCCTTGCCCCCAAGGAGTGACTTACTGGCCCCTCCCAGGCCCTCACCCCAGGTACATGTGGTTCCAGGACACAGAGATGCCACCCGGCCCCAGGACACAGAGACAGCGACTCACCGAAGTTCTCTCCACCCCAGATGTCCATGTCTGTGTCATATTTCCCCAGGTATTCGAACCAGGATTTGTCCATCACGAAGAGCCCTCCAGCGATGATCGGAGTCCTATGCATTTGGAAGGAAGGGAGGGAGTTACGGGAGAGAGACCGCCGTCACATTCGTCTGCCCTGGCAGTGCAGAGCTCAATACAATTTTCTCCCCATTTCTCTTCCTCTTCACAGGGCCAATGCATTATTACCTAAAACAAGAACATGCTCTGGAGTTTTTTCTTTTGATTTTAAATCTCCCGGCCTCACAGACAGGCTAATTTACTCATCAGCATGCCTTCCGTTGGGGGAGCTGGGATTTGCTCAGAACACTGCTGCTCTGAGGGCCTGGGGATCCTTCACTGGCCTCTCCCACAGGCCCTGCCCAGCATGGCTCTCTTGGGGGGTTCCATTACTGGGAGCCCGGGCAGCGGGCCACTGACCAGGCAGGGAAGGAAGACTGAGGCAGCACCTGTTAACAGCACATCCTAGGGCGCCTGGGTGGCTCTGTCAGTTAAGTGTCTGACTCCGGCTCAGGTCACGATCTCCCAGTTTGTGAGTTCGAGCCCCGTGTCGGGCTCTGTGCTGACAGCTCAGAGCCTGGCACCTGCTTTGGATTCTGTGTCTTCCTCCTTTTCTCCCCCTACCCCCCCACCGCTTGCACTCTGTTTCTCAAAAATAAATAAATATTTTTTAAAAATTGCACATCCAGGGGCGCCTGGGTGGCGCAGTCGGTTAAGCGTCCGGCTTCAGCTCAGGTCACGATCTTGCGGTCCGTGAGTTCGAGCCCCGCGTCAGGCTCTGGGCTGATGGCTCAGAGCCTGGAGCCTGCTTCCGATTCTGTGTCTCCTTCTCTCTCTGCCCCTCCCTCCTTCATGCTCTGTCTCTCTCTGTCTCAAAAATAAATAAACGTTAAAAAAAAAAATTAAAAAAAAAATTGCACATCCATTTTTTGAGATTGTGTTCTCCTTTTCTTCCCTCTTTACCCCTCTATCAGGGGTTATGTCACCTATGTTGGGGTCCTAACCCCCAGTACCTCAGAATGTGACCTTATTTAAGGAGCGAGTCTCTATAGAAGTTAAAATGAGGACATTACGGTGAACCCCAAATCCATGTGACTAGTGTCCTTAAAAAAAGGAAACACAGAGCCAGAGAGACAGACGTGCCTAGAGACCATATAATGTGAAGAGGCACGGAGAAGAGAGCCCCCTGAAAGCCAAGGAGAGAGGCCGGCATTGCCCTCAGAAGGAATCGACCCTGTCGACACTTTGATTTTCGACTTCAAGCCTCCAGACCTGCAAGACAATACATTTCTGTCGATAAGCCACTCTGTGTGTGGTACTTTGCTGAGGAACCCCAACAAACTAATACACGCTCATCTTTGTTTTTTTCCCGTGGGATCCCACCCCACCTTCCCCTGCCTCTGGTGCCTGAGAGAGATGCCAGAGAAGCCACTTGGGAAGGAAAAGGTTGCAGAGGAAGGCAGACAAGGATAGCAGAGTCCAACCAAATAATCCAGCAAGTTTAGGGACGTGTGTCTATAAGGATCGGTGGCTGGGAGAGGTGGGCAAGCCCTCAGGGACCTGGCCCCTCATCCAGCGCGTCCAGAGGGTGAAGGCAGTTTTCACCCACATCAGTTAGTTGATGGAGAGCAGGTCCAGAAACCAGGTCTCCCAAAGCCATGCCCCCCTGCTATTTCCTGCAAACTGACCTAATGCTGGGAAACACTCATTCTGGGAGCAGGGATATTCCCACAAGAAAAGAGCCCACCCTCAGAATGCCACCACTGGGACAGAGAAGGGTAACACCAGGAGGTGGCTGCACCACCGCCCCCTTCGTCCTTGATGTGGTCCACCACCATATCATGTGCTGCCACTGTTGGGTAGCTGAGAAGCTGATGTGTGCTGCATGGAGCTCTCAGTGTGGGAAGAAGGTTCTACTCTCCCTTTAGAAATAAAGGGCAGGGGGCGCCGGGGTGGCTCAGTTGGTGAAGTGTCCGACTCTCGATCTCCACTCAGGTCACGATCTGATGGTTCAGGGGATCGAGCCCCTCATTGGCCTCTGCACTGACAGTGTGGAGCCTGCTTGGGATGGTCTCTCTCCCTCTCCCTCTGCCCTTCCCCAGCTCGCATGTGTACTCTCTCTCAAAATAAATAAATAAATAAACATTGAAGGAAGGAAGGAAGGAAGGAAGGGAAAAGAAAGAAAGAAAGAAAGAAAGAAAGAAAGAAGAAAAGAAAGAAAGAAAGAAAGAAAGAAAGAAAGAAAGAAAGAAAGAAGGAAGGAAGGAAGGAAGGAAGGAAGGAAGGAAGGAAGGAAGAAAGAAAGAAAGAAAGAAAGAAAGAAAGAAAGAAAGAAAGAAAGAAAGAAAAGGCATTAGCCAGCATGCCATCTGGCTCCAATCTCCCTCTTGGCATCACTCCAGATTATGACAGCTGGAGGAGGAGGGAGGAGAGGCCAGCAGGTAGGTGAGACAGAGGTCCCTGGTAGAGCTCTCCTGAACACACACGTCTCTCTGGAGTGTCCCCATTTGGCTCTTCATAGCTCCTTGGTTCACAATCTGACTTATGTTCTTAAGTTAATTCAGTGCAAGTGAGCAAACGTTTACTCTATGGCAGGTCCAGAGATACGGAGATGCCCATGAAGAATGTGGGGCATCCCTAAGTTACCGGCCAGAGAAACTGCATCCTAGTGGTCTTGTCTGTATTTCTCCAAGCACTTTTATCCTCCTGACACCCCACCTGAAGCAGACAGCTGTCAGCTTGGAGATTCCCCAACAGGTCTGGGACACGTGCACCAGCCTTAGGTAGGAACACCCACACCATACGTTCTCAGTGCTCAGGACACAGGCTCCCTGCTGGGTGGACACCATGCTCTGTTCTACCCCCGGCCCCGCGACAGGTCCCGGGCCCCAGGCGGCCATCCTGACACCATGTGCAGCGAATCGTAGCAGGGGCCTGAGGAGAGAACGCCCGCAAAAGAGCCTGAAGTTGATGCCACCATCTCATTCTCAGACAGGACACAGCAGATGTGTGTTTGTTTGTTTGTATATATTTTATTTTGAGGGAGAGAAAGAGTGCATGCACGCAAGTTGGGGAGGGGCAGAGAGTGAGGGAGACAAAGAATCAAAGCGGGTTCTGCACTGACAGCACAGAGCCCGAT